AAGGTGCAAGCAGGGTTTTCTGGGCAAATCTAGGACCTATACAAGTATTCAGTTACCTAATATTTAATGTCCAACCATTTTTTATAGGACCTCTCAAAATTCAAATAGTAAAACATCTTTAGATGAGAGTTATCAAGAACACTTTACTCTTGTGTAAAAAATGAAATAACTCTGTTTGGATTTATTTTCATGAGTTTCTTAAAACGTATGATATTTTCATCAAGAACCTCCCCTTCCTTCCATTCATATTATTTGTGTGTAGGGTACAGATCTAAAGTTTGTTGAAGATAAGGAGAGTTTCTGAAAAACAGGATATGAATAGTAGGTCATACGCTGACGTGTTTTTTAATCTTTCAATTAAATTAACCAAACCCACTGCACCAAATTGACCCCAATTCATAGTAATGCTATATAGTGTTTCTGAGACTGTAAATCTTTATGGGGACAGTCAGTCTCATCTTTCTCTTTGGAGCCACAAGTGGGGTTTGAACCTCTTACCTTGTCGTTAGCAGTCCGTTGTTTGTTCTGGGAAGTTAGGTTGAATGAAATTAGAATGTACATGTCTTTTAAAATGTAATGGGTTGATGTTAAGAACAGTATGAATATTAAGTGCATTTTGTAGAAATAGGCGTTTTAAGGAAAAATCAGTTTTGAGTGGATTTACTTAGGAGAGTGGTGTTTTAATAAACACTTAGGAAAAATAAAAAGAGTTTTGGAATTAAATCAGAGAGGAAGGAGATATTTTTTAAAAGTTGTTGTTGTTATGTGACATGGAGTTGGTTCTGACTCATAGTGACCATGTACAGGGTTTCCGAGGCTGTAAACCTTTACGGGAGCAGAAAAAAGAAAGAAAGAAAGGATGTCACCAAACTAGTAAATGTCATCTAAGGATCTCTAATAGCGTAGTGGTTACGAATCAGGCTGCTAATCTCATAGTCAGCAGTTCAAAAGTACCAGCTGTTCCACTGGAGAAAGATGAGATTTTCTGTTCCCATAAAGATTTGGAAACCCTGTACAGGGTTGCTATGAGTCAGAACCAACTCCATGGCACATAACAACAACAACAACATAGGCTCCTGGTGTTGGCACATTGAGGATGCTGGCATCAGCCTCACCATTTCAACTCATTTCTTATTACTCCCCCATCTTATTTCCAATAATAAATAAACTTTAAGACTGATTAATATAACAATACCAAAGGAAACTCTGATTTTGGTGCCCTTTAAATTAAAGGAAAGAGCAAAAGAAAAGTTGACGATGCAGCAGTATATAAGAAAATTATTCAGTCTAAAAACTTCATTTTAATTAGGGTGGTAAATACATTCAATGTAGTTGTCAATATGTTGTTGCTGTTGTTAAGTGTTGTCAAGTCATTTACGACTCATAGCGACTCTGTTTCAGGTTTATGAGGAGTCGCTGGTGGGTTTGAACTACTGATCTTGTGGTTATCAATCTAGTGCTTATCCTACAGCACCACACCAGACAGAACTCCTTTTTACTTTAGTTTATAATGGTGATTTACAGTTCAAATTTTCCATTGTCTTCAAATTTCATTATATCAATTCATGTATAAGAAACTTATAACAGTGTACTGTGCTTTGATTACCCCCATAGTTCCTTGCCTACTATTTTCACACATACTTTTACATGTTATTAAGTTATAGTACATTACAAATATTTTTCCTTTAAAAAGTCTATTATCTTTTGAAGACATGTTCTTTTTAATAGAGAAACATTTTGTATGTATCAACATTATTTGGAGTCGTGTTGTGGCACTGTAGGGTAAGCACTTGACTGCAAGGTCAGTTTGAACTGCAAGGTCAGTAGTTCAAACTCACCAGCTACTTCTTGGAAACCCAATACAAGATTGCTATGAGTCGGAACTGACTCGACAGCACTGAACAATAACAGCACCATTATTTACCATTTCTGGTGGTCTACATTCCTTATAGAACCAGCTTTCCTTCTGAGGTTCTTTTCCTTTCATCTGGGAAAAAAAAAAAAAAAAAAAAAAAAAACCTCCTAAAAATCCTATGGCTATAATAATGACACATTTACAGAGGTTCTGATTGTTGGGATGCTTGTCCTCGGTTTTGAAGGACAGTCTCACTGGACATAGAATTTTAGCTTGACAGTTTGTTGTCTTTCTATTATTGTTTTTTTTTTCTGTCAACAACATGCCATTCAACTGTTCAGAAGACTGTCTATGTACACAACCCTTGGGGTCTATGTATGTGTCTATATACAAAACGTGTCTTTAATTCTTAGGCTACTTTTAAGATGGTTATCAGCAGTTTCATTAGGATATGTTTTAGTTTCGTTGTTGCATACTAAAAAAAATTTTTTTAAATAATAAAAATGATTTTTTAATGTCCCTTCTAGCCATAGTCTTTGTAAACTCACATCAAACAGCTGTTTCCTGATGGGCCTGGGTTAGAGGAGGTGGGGGAAAGTGCTGATGGATTATGTGATTAGTTATGAGTTATTGTTAAACAGATTTAATTGTAAAAACTTGGAACTCTAACATGGGTATAAAATTAGTTACCTCAGCAACAAGAGGGGAACGATCAAACGACCATCAAAGAAGAAGAGCTGGGAGTGGAGAGCACATTTTTGGACCTTAGATCTCTACAACATTGAACCTCCTCCACCCAGGGATAGAAAGCTGTGACACTGGAGGGGTGACAGAGGAGCAACTGCAGCAGAACCAAGAATCACAGCATGAGACAGAGCAAATACAGCTGAGTGGCTTTCAACAGGAGCCTTACTAGTAAAGCGGGGTGACTCCAACTGCTTAACTGGAGGAGCTAGGTTGGCTAGCACACTGAGTTAGAGTCAGGTGCCTTCAGGCTGAGGCTTATGGTGGAGTAGTGGATCTTGTGGAAATTTATCAGCAGCCCTGAAAGAACTTTATAACATTACTTGGACTGAGAGGCCTACATATGGACACAGCTGAGGTGAGGATGTCCTGACTTGAAGAAGTGTGCCTGAACATTTCTGACCCTGAAATGTAGCCTGTAACTTCCCTAATAAACCCCATAATTGTGAGTATTGTATCTGAGTTCTGTGTGGCCATTGCAATGTATTTTCAAACCCAATTGAGTAGAGAGTGCTGGGGAAGGGATGGTTTGGAGTTAGTTTTTGTAATTGTCTTTCAGTTTATCCTATTTAGGATTTGTTGACCATGTTAAATCTGTAGGTTTGGTAACTAAATGAAATTGAGATTATTCATGACCTTAATTCTTCAAATATATTTTCTGCTTGTCCCTCCTTGAACTCCAATCCATATGCATTGGATCTCTTGATACTAACAGGTAAGTAAAGTATTTGTCCATTTTTTTCCCCCATTTATTTTTCTTTGTGCTTTAGTTTGGATATTTAGTGATTACTATGTCTTTGATGATCTTTTCCTGACAGTGTTTTTCATGCCTAAAATTTCCATTTGGTACTTCTACATATGAGTGGACTTCAAAAGTTTGTGAATAATTCCAGTACCTTTTAATTCCATTTTTATGAACTTTTTGAAACCCTTTCGTATCTTTCATTTTTCTTTTTATTATGCTCATGTTTTCCTTCAAATCATTTTTTTTTTTTTGTAACTTTTTATTATGAGTTGGGTGAATGCTACAGAGCAGAGCATCAGTTTTGCATTCAACAAATCATACACATTTTGTTTCATCTCATTGATTACAATCCCTTCAGTATAACTTCTCTTGTCACACTTCCTCCTTGTGTTTCTTGTTTCTGTTCCGTCCTCTTTCCCTAACCATTGTAAACGTCATCCTTGGGTAAATGCTGCCCTTATGATCTCAAATGGTTGATTCTTCTAAGCTGTGAAGACCTCACTACTGTAATTGTTATCTTTAAAGACAGAACTGTCTATTTTTGGGCTGAAAGTTGATCCATGGGGGTGAGCTCAATTCCAGACCCGAAGGACCATAGCATCAGGGGCTCCACCAGTCTCTAGCCAACCAATGAGTTTGGTCCCTTTTAAAGTTTTGAATTTTGTTTCATTTGCTCTTCTTCTATGCAGGATCTTCTAATATGATCCTTTACAGAGCAATTGGTGTTGGTAACTGGGCACCACCTAGTTCTTTTCGTCTTGATGTCATGAAGACTAATGTTCACATGGTGCCATATATTCCACAGGGCTAATTGTTTATGTTTCTTCAGAACCCACTGGACAGCACTTAACAATCACAACAAATGCATGGTTAGGAGTCCTGGTTAGGCAATGTAGGATAAACACCATACTGCTAACCTCAAGGTCAATTGTTCAAACCCACAAGTTGCTTCTCAGAAAACCTGTATGGCACACACTCAGAAAGCCACTCTGGCACACATATTTCCTGATTTTAAACCATCAAAAATCCACTTTTATGGCATTATAGGAAGAGCACTGGACAGCAAGGTCGGTTTGAACCACAAGGTCGGTAGTTCAAATTTCCTAGCTGCTCTTCGGAAACCCTATAAAGTGTTGCTAGAAGTCAGAACCAACTCAGTGATATTTAACAACAACAATATCCCCTTGCATGCCTCTTTTTCTATGTACAGGCTCTTCATAAGCACAATTAAGTGCTCTGGAATAACCATTCTTTGCAACGTTAGCCATAGTTTGTCACGGTCTACACAAAACTCCTGGTGTGAACTATAGAATGAGCACTGGACTGCAAACCACAAGGTCAGCAGTTCAATTCCACCAGCTGCTCCTTGGAAATCCTATGAAGTCATTTAACAACAACAAGACACAATGAAAAGCCTTTGCATAGTTAATACGGCACAAGTAGCCATCTTTCTGATATTCCTGCTTTCAGCCAAGATCCATCTGATGTCAGCAATGCTATCCCTACTTCTAGTTCCTCTTCTGAATCCCGCTTAGATTTTTGGCAGTTCTCAGTAAATGCACTGTTGTACCCATTTTTAAATTATCTTCCACAAAATTTTACTTGCCTGTGAAATTAATGACATTGTTCCATGATTTCCACATTCTGTTGGATCACCTTTTCTTTTGAATGGGCATATATAAAGTAAAATCCCTAGAAAGCATAAAGTCCTGGCTATTTTCAACCATTTTCATAATAAGCCGAGATTTTGCTTCCATTTTACTCACGTGGTTGCAACAGAGGTCTTGAACCTTCAGATTTATAAACTGAAAAAGGAAAAAAATGATTAGGGCTTATAACATTACATTTTTAGGAATTAAAAGTAAGTCTTTTCTGTTGACTTCAGAGCTCTTATCTCCCATTAAAAACACATGTATGGCTCCTGCTTGTTTATAAATAAAACATGAACATGTTTACCTGTTGCTTCTTTACATGAATATAAATTACTGGATTTGAAATACATTGTTTTATGTGCATTAATGAGAGGTTTTGTTTTTGTTTTTTAATTTCATTCAAGTATAACTAAATATCATTTAAAAGACTTACTTCTTGTGTAGAATCCCAGAAGAAATACAATTGTTTTGCTTTAGTTTAGTGTGAGAATAAATTTTTCCATGAAGTAATTTACTTTATATTTTTAGGCTCTACTGCTGGTCAATAATTGTCTACTGCAGCATGGAAAGTGTTCTCCTTCACAAAGATGAAGGTGGACAGTTCAGTCAATAAAGGATCATTCTTTTGGGTTCTTGTCTTGCTGAGACAGCAAAGGCTTGTCCTTTAAGCCTGCATGCATCAACGAGAGCCATGTGATGTGATGGTTGCAGACATGGACGCTCACTCCTTTGGATTAATCAGGGCTTTGGATTAATCAGGTCAAGGTTGTTGTTGTTGTTGTTAAGTGCCGTTGTTGAGTCAGTTCTGACCCACAGGGACCCTGCATAGGGTTTCCAAGGCTGTAAATCCTTACGGGAACAGAAAGCCTCATCTTTCTTTCTCCAGTGGAACTGCTGATAGTTTCGAACTGTTGACCTTGAGATTAGCAGTCTGATTCATAACCACTATGCTATATGAGGAAAATCTGTGATTGGCATATCCATGAATCTATATCAGAAAATGCAGAAGAGGCATGACAGCAACAAAAATCTGATGGCTGCTTCTGCAAGAGCTTGGAATTAGAGCAATTCCAGCTTTGGTAAACCTAAAATATTTACAAATGGGAACACTGCCTGTGGAACCAATAGTTATTCCATCACATCCTTTGTAAAAAATTATAAAAGAAAAATTTTTATAATGGGTTGCACATCTAGTAAGCATTCAGATGGTAACCAAAAGGTCAACAGTTCAAAACAACCAGCTGCAGTCACTCCAAAAGAGAATGGACCTGGGACAAGTTTCTAAAAGATTACTGCCTAGGAAACTGTTTGGGGAAGTTCTACTTGGTCACATTGGAGTCTATGAATCAACTCCATGGCTTCTAACAATATTAAAAATGGAAGTTTCAACAGTCCTATGTTTGATCATGAAGTCCTGGTGTGACGCTGTGTGATCATGAGCTGTCTATCTGAACTGCAAGGTCGGTGGTTCAAATTCACCAGCTGCTCCTCAGAAACTCTGTTCAGGGTCGCTATGAGTCAGAATGGCTTGATGTCACTTCACAACGAATATTTTATCATAAAATAATCTATAAAGAACACAGAGTGTATTGTTTTTTCTTCAGTGACTTACTGGCTGGCTCAAAAATAAAAATTCATTAGTATTCCCAATTTAAAACTGTATAAATGAGCACCTCTCATTTATGCATACTCTAAAATTTTACATTAGTTTCTGCATTACCCTAGAAATGCAAACAATGCTAACAGTGATTAGGGTTGAGGGATGTGGCAAATAAATACAAAAATATATATTTTTAAAGCTTGTGCTTTGATTACTACAAACAAAATTCTATTGTATAGTTAGATATTTGTTTTCAATTTTAGACTACATGAGAACACATGGTTGAATTTTTTTTTTTTTTAATGTGCCAACTCTTAGTTTGCTAAGGTTGTAGGCAAATCAGTGGCTGAATCAGGATGGCAGATGCATTTGTTTTCTCTTGGCCAGAATTGAATACCTTTAGGCAATGCATTTGCACTTCAGGTTGAACCATCTTCACTACTGCCTGTAGCAGTATGGATTAAGGTCTACAAGGTGAATTTGAATCCCAACTTTTCTTGGTGTGTGACTTTGGTCATGTTACACTATGCATCAATATACTTATCCATAAAATAAGAGAATAACAGTATCTACATTGTAGCATTTTTGTAAAGGTTAAATTGCTTGCAGTATCTGCATATAATAAGCCCTTGATAAATGTGATAATAAGGAGCTCTGGTAGCTTAGTGGTTACGAGTCAGGCTGCCAACCTCAAGGTCAGCAGTTCAAAACTACCAGTGGTTTCGCGGGAGAAAGATGAGGCGTTCTGCTCCTGTAAAGATTTACAGCCTCGGAAACCTGTGCAGGGTTACTATGAGTCAGAACTGACTCCATGGTACTTACCAACAACCTATGTGATAATAGTGGTGGTGGAGTTGGTTCCAACTCATAGTGACCATGTATAGGGTTTCTGAGGCTGTAAATATTTACGGGAGCAGAAAGCCTCATCTTTCTCCCATGAAACAGCTGGTAGTTTCAAACTGCTGATCTTGGCATAAGCAGCCAGACTTATAATCAAGGTTCCTTAATAATAGTAGTAGCAGTAATAATAATAGCTAGTCTTTTCACAAATCCCTGCCTTGCTCCTAAAGACATTTGAATCCTTGACTCTAACTCTCTATTTGTGATTCAGAACCTAGCACTGTTTAAGAACATAATCACTGGTTGTATACTGGCAGAATTCCAGACCAATTTGCTTTCTAGTCTATAATATTTCTCTTATGCAGTTCATCTGCCTTGACTGTTTTCTTGTTCACTGAACTTTTGACTGTACATAGAAGCTGACAGGTGTTTTCCCAGAGGTGACACCAACTGCGTCACACAGCTGTTATCTGACAGCTTCCAGATCTTTCTGAGGAGAGCACATGACAGAAAGGCCATCAGACAAGCAGGCCAACAGTTGCATTTGGCATAATTACACACTTCCTCAAGGGAAGAAAACAGTCAATCTCACAGTTTTTAGTCAAGCTGACACTTTTCACCTATTTTGCAAGGTACATTCACAAAGTTCAAATAGTTGATTGACTGAAGCTGAGGGGGAAAGGCTAAATGTCAGGCTTTTAAGATGAAACTGGTGGCAGCTGTGTAACAGCCTGGCAGGTAGAGTGAAGTCTAGCATTAAGAGTGACAGAGGAATGGCAGGCAGAAAAGAGAGGACTGTGTTAGTTGGCAAAGAAATAATAAATCAGCTTGTGGTTAGGGTTTGTGTGGGCTTTGACAGAAAGACTAAAATATCTGATTCAAGTTTGCTAAATTTTCTGAACATTCAAAAGGGAAACTTCCACAATTTTATTTAAAATAACTTTTAGTTTTCTTTCATTTAATTTGTTCATTTGTTGTTGATGTTCAGTGCCATCGTGTCAGCTCCAATCCATAGCAACCCTCTATAGGGTTTCTGAGGAGCTGCTGATACGCTTGAAACGCTGATGTTGTGGTTCAAAGCAACTTTGCAGTCCAGTGCATTAACACGCAGTGCTACACCGGGACTCCAAAATGTTAATATACATTCTTTTTTTTCCCTTCTTATAATAGTTCCCATTATGTTGATATTCTGTATAGAGATTACTTACTACATTTTTTTCACTCTCAGCTTTGCTTTATATGGTATGGAAACTTGTTGTTGTATGCCACTAGTCATTTCGACTCATAGTGACCCTGTATCGATCTCCAAGAGTGGCTGGTGGGCTTCAACTGTTGACCTTGTGGTTAAACCCGTCCAATGTTTATCTTACAGTGCCACATTCAGAAAATATAAATCATTTACATTAATAAGAAAAACAGAAAAAAATTTTAATTAATAATAACAGCAAGAAAAGCTATGAGAAGGTTTGATTCATAATATTTTATTGTAGAAATACAGAAAATAATCTAATCAGGATTTTGCATAATACTTCAAAATATGGTAAATAGAACTTCCTTACTTTTTTAAATTCAGCACCTAAACTATGACATTTACTGCCAACTTTATTATGTGTTGTTTTTTAACACCAAATCTTTTGGTTGGTGTTTAATTCTTATATTGGGAAAAGAAGCAGTGAAAAGTCTCATGTTAACAGCCAAGGTTATAAAAATCATTGGATAAACTAAAATCAGTCTTCTCACTTCTCAGAATTTGAGAAAATTATGGCAAGGTGAGAACTGTTAATTAGTTCTGTTCTTCTATGTGTTATTTTTTTTATTAGTAATTATCTAGTAATTTTCCAAGAAAGTGTATGATTTACTCTAGTGCTGTCCAATAGATATATGTGAGCCACAGATGTAAGCTGCAGATAAAAGTTTGTGTCTTCCCTACTCTATAATTATTAAACATGTCAAGAAATGTGTAAAATGAATCTTAACAATGTATTTTAGGTACCCACTACTCAAACTATTATTTCAGTTTGGACTCAATGTGAAAATGATTACTGAAAATATCATTTGACAATGGAATCAACATAAAATTATTAATGATATTTAGTTTACATCTTTTTCATACTAAGTCTTCAAATGCTAGTATACATTTTATACTTATAGCACATCTCAATTTTTTCTCAGTAGTCACAGGTGACTGTTGTTGTTTTTAAGTGCTGTTGAGTCAGTTCCGACCCATAGTGACCCTGTACAGGGTTTCCAAGGCTGTAAATCTATATGGGAGCAGAAAGCCTCATCTTTCTTCCGCGGAACAGCTGGTAGTTTCGAACTGCTGACCTTAAGTTTCACAGCCCGATTCATAACCACAACGCTACCAGAGACACCGCAGACATATATGATTTTACCATCATTTCATTTATTTATTCATTCTGTGCTTGAAGTCAGCAAATAAACTGTTAATGACAGTTATCTTTTTATAGTCTACCAAAACAAAGGAACACACTGCCAATGAGTTAATTCCTACTCATAGGGTTTCTAAGATTGGAAATCTTCATGGAAGAAGACAGCCTAATTTGTCTCCCCCAGAGAGAGTGGTGGCTTGAACTATTGACCTTGTACTTAGCAGTCCAATGCCTAACTTTATATTTTTGTTATTTTTTTTACCAGTATTCTCTAAATAATGTCCACAGATGAAGAATATAATATAGGAATACTCTGAAAATGA